GGAGGGTCCAACGGACCCCCCCCCCCCCCTATACGCTCGCTACTGGAAACACCAATACGGGCGAGGGTTAATGGATTATTAAAGACAAATTTCCAGGTTGCCCCCCCCCCCCAGTCAAATTCCCTTAAAATAGGCTCTGCCGGGAGCTGTGTGACACGGGTCAGTCTGACGGCCAGCGGAGGGCCGCGCCGACACGCCCACTCGGCCCTGGGCCGGGCCAGTTGACCCCGTTCCGCCGGCGGCGCCGACGTATCGACCGCTGCGAACGGCCGACGGCCGCCGTCTAATCACCAGCGCCGGCGGCCGCACTACCTGTACACTGTGCAGTGATTGGCGCCGACCGGGCCGGCGCGGCGGCCAAGTGGCCAACTGACCTCGGGCGGCACGCGTCGCCGCCGGACGCACATTCCGCGGCGGCGGAAGCGGTGTCCGGCGCGGCGCGGCGCGGCGACACCAGGACCCGGCACCTGACCGGGGCGGGCCGTCGCTGGACCGACGGACCCGGGGCCCGGGGTCGGCCCGCTGGGGAGCGGAGGAGTGTGGACTGAGGGACGGAGAGAGCGGGACGGTGTGGGCAGGGTGTTCCGCCGGCCGCCATATGGCACCCGTCACACCGGCGCTGGTGTTTCTCTTTTCCCGGCGATTTCCAGAATGTGGCGGCGCCGGTGGTCGCCGGAGAGTTTCGGTGGTAATTGATGTATCGGGCGCCCTGGTCCCGAACCGCCGTCAGTTTGTTGGCTGATCGTACACGTTACCGACCATGGGCTCAGACCAGGCGCAGTTTCTCCAGGAAAGCTCACAATAGTTGATTCTGAATATCGACTCACATGTCGTAGTTCTGAGTTCTGATTCTCGTTGCATTACCGGTTTTGTGAAATATCCCGCCTCCCCTGCTGTAAAAAAAAACTCATCTGAAGTTTGATATTGTTCTTCCATTATTATGGTATGGTAGAGGGAATAGCTGCTCTCTCTGGCCAGTGGCCGTATCCTAATCATTAAATGACGATACTGTTCTGTTGCACTCCTCATTGTTTTAAAGCGCACTGTGCTTCACTCGGCAATTCGGCATCAGCTTTGTTGTTGGTTAAGGCCTGTGTCCTCTATAGCTGTCGGCCTGTCCCGGCCGGATCTCCAAGTGACTGACTGGCTGCCGACAGGGTTGCCGGCTGCCCGATGTGCGTTATGTTCCATGCAGTCTACGCCACCCATGCGTGCAGTGCGCCGTGCCGCGGGCGGCGGCCACGCGTCCGACTCGGCCGGCACGTGTCCGCCGTCCGCTCGGCCGGCCGGCACGTGCGGTGTGGGGTTTCTCCCGGCCCGTGCCGGCCGGCGCCGCCCGGTCACGCTCGGTCCTCCGTTGAGCTGCATCAAGTGGCGCGCTGCGGCGGCTGGGGGCCGTGCTGGCGCAGACGGGCAGCACACGTTCCAGCTGTCGCGCCGCTCGGCGGTGACACGGCCCGGCCGGGACGGAGGAGCGGTGCACGCCGCCGCTCCGGCCCGTGCCGTCCCGCAGTGCGCGCCATTTCCATTTACCGGCGGAGACCATTACCATTCAGCGGCGGCCGGCGCAGGTCGGACACGGGAGCACCTCTGCGGCCGGCGCAGGTCGGACACGGGAGCACCTCTGCGGCCGGATAGCGTCCGGCGGGGACCGTGTCCGAGCTCGGCACCTGCCGGCGGGCGCCGCTCGCTGCAGATGGTCCGACCGCGGCGCTGCCGAGTGCCGACAGCCGGCCTCGACGGCAGTCTCCATCTCTCCGGTTTTATTCTGGGAAAACGGCGTGCGCGGCTAACGGTGTGTCGCGCGCAGTCGGCCGACGTCCTTGTAGCAGTGGGGAACCGTTACTGCCGCCGAGGTCCCCGCAGGACGGCGCGGCGGCCACTTTCCGCCCCCGCCGTCACCGGTGACCGGTCCCAGTTGGTACCGCCGCCACCGGTGCCAGTGCTGCCGCCACCGGTGCCAGTGCCGCCGTCACCGGTCCCAGTCACTGGTTCCGGGCCCGGCGGTGCTCCGAAGACTTTTCCGGTTGTCGAGTAACAGAGAACCAGCCTTCGGACATGGCTGGTTTGCGTTGTTAAAATGCCACTGAGTCGTTGAAATTTTCCTACATACGTGTTTCCAGAACTTGGAGATTAGTTCGATAGTTTTAGCTGAAAGGCTAGAATTCCCGGAAAATAATGGGTCTAATGTATTTTTGTAACCAAACTCACATTTCCGTTGCTCCATTCGTAAAATTTTCACGAGTTATCCCCATTCATTTCCCATTTTGTCTTTTGCCAGTTCTCATTTCATCACGTCGTATTTTTCTCTCACTGTCGTTTTGCGCAGTCGACTGTGAGCTATGCCGTCATTTTCCGCGTCTCTCGCGATTTCCGGTGGCCGCCTTCTGCCGGTCTGAAAATGGGCCACCGCTGCTGCCGGAACACTGGAGACATTGTCGGCACCGGCGCTGCCCTCCGACCGCTGCCCTCCGACCGCAGCCCTCCGACCGCAGCCATCCGACCGCTGCCCTCCGACCGCTGCCCTCGGACCGCTGCCCCTCCCGTCGCGCCGGCCGCAGCTGCTGAGCTGCTCCGAGCAGGAGTGAGCTGCCGTCCTCGGCGGCAAACAAATCGGCATTCCGGCGGCTGGCGGCGCCGCTGTCGTGCCGGGACCGCAGGCGCGGCTCGCCGCTGACGGTGCCGGTGTCTCGGCCGTCCGCCCGCCCGTCAGCGGCCGCGCAGAGCGGCTCCGGCGCGCAAAACACGCACAAAAACAGCCGCGCCAGCGGAGCCGTGTTTTATGCCGAGCCGTCGCGGCGCAGAGAGGGGGGACGGCACGTGACGACTGACGCCGCGCCTGCCGTCTGGATGGCGGCGATGGCGGCCGGCGCTCCTGGTCGGCGGGTGATGCTGCCGGCGCTCCTGGTTGTGGCGGCGACGGTGCTGCCGGCCCTCAATTCTCGACGCGTGCCTACGGTCTACATACGGACGGGCGCAGAGGCGGCGGGCGAGTCGGCCGCTCCGCGACCCGTCGCGTTCGGCGCCGCCGCCGGCCGGCCGGGAAACGGTTTGCGATCGTACATCAGCAGCGCCGGAACGGAGTCGCCGCCCGGATGCCGTGTTCGCCGGGAGCGCCGCTGCGGCCTCTGAGACCGACCAGCGCGCGCCCAGCCGTCCACCGCTGTGCTGCGAGCCGGTACCTGTGTGACTGAATGGCGGACTTACTTCCGTGCAGATCCTGGTGGCCGTAGAGCAGCTGTTGGTTCATTGACACAGGGCGGCCGATGGCCTCCGCAGTCGGGGCGCCCCAAAATCGCCACCATCACCCCACCGCGCCGCGCTAATTCGGCGTCCGCGTGTGGATCGCGCGGCGGGGCTCTTTTTGTGGTCGCCAATGGGCGCCGAGGGCATTAGGAATTTACGCGAAATGAGGCTCCCTGCTCGGTGTGCAGATTGGGCGACGCCGACCCGACAGAGCTCAGTTGGAAATCGATGAAAGGGGGCTGACTTTGGTCTGTGACCCGTTCGAGCAACTTACGAGTAATAGACGAAACTAGCTTGGCTGCGTCGCCCGCCATGCAGTGTATGCATTACCCACAGTTGAACCGGACTGATAAGTGATAGCTGACCTGACCATTCCCGCCAGTCAGTTACTGCTCCGGGCCGGGCTGACCTGACCTGACCCCTCCCGTGGATCAGTTACCTCCTCCCCCTCCTCGGGCCCGGCTGACCTGACCGCTCCGGTCAGGTGCCGGTCCGGTCCCGGTGGAGTGGTGTGCGCTGACACGTGTGTCGGTAGCGACAGAGGCCGCGGCTGAGTGTCACGTGTCCACAGTCCATTTTCGGCTCCTCACCTCTGCGGAGGCTGATCGAGGGCGCGGGACGGCAGTGGAGGGTCCCGGCCGGTCCCAGCGCGTGTCTGCTGGGCCGCCGCGCCGTCGCACGCTGCCCCATCGATTGTCCGTCGGCGGCGGCGGCGGCGGCGGCGCGTCGTGTCCGACGCAGTTGACCCGGTCCGGGCGGCGGCTCGGCAGACTACTGACGGGCACGGCGGCCCCGAGGGGTCAGCGGGGGTGATACGCACCCCTCCCCCCCCGGGGGCTAGCTCCGTTACCGTCACGGCGCCGGGTTTATTTACCGTCGCCGCGCGTCGGGGCGCCGGCGGCGAAGGGCGAGTCGGCGCCGGCGGCCGCAGCGCGTGTGAGCGGTCTTTGTGAGGGCGCCCTGCAGACGGCTCAGCGTCTCAGCTGCGCCGGTCGGCTCTGAACGACGGCCGACAGAGACGCGCCAACTGCTGCCGAGCGGTCGGCTCTGTGTCTGACTGCCGAGGCGACGGGCCCTTCCAGGGTGCCCGGTCGCGCCGCCACCGCCAGGGTGGGTAGGCTGTCCCGCAGTACAATGTGGGGGTGGCCGTCTGGTGGTCAGGGGGAAGAAGGGGACACCATTGACGGTGGCCGGGCGGGTCCAAGTGCCACTGACTGTGACGGGACGGGTCCTGAGGGCCACAAATGGCGAGCGGACGGGTGGGACACCACTGACGATGCCGTGCGGCTCCGATTGTCACTGATGGTGCCGGCGCGGGAGGGCCACTGACGGGTCCTGAGGGCCACTGACGGTGACCGGACGGGTGGGGAGGGCCACTGACGGTGGCTGGACGGGTCCGGCCGAGTTCAGTCACCGCGCTGGCAGGCGCTGGCAGGCGGCCAGTACCGGTGCACGGCTGGAAGGGAGGGAGAAGGGCGCCGCTCGCGCTGTGAGGACCGGGGCTGCCCGGTGCGAGTCGCCGCCAGTGCGCCGCCCCCCTCCGGGTCGTCCCTGCTGGCGAACGACCGACGCCGGCGGCTGCATGTATTGTGTATACCTAATATTTATAGCACCATGACTCATGCCGGTCGAGTCAGGCTGCTCTGAGAGGATGTGTGCGTGTGGGCCATGTGCGTCGTGTCACGTGCCTCCCACCGGGCCCGGTGTCGGAGCCCGTGGCCGGCCGACTGCTGACCGGGCCCGCTGCGTTCCAGGTGACCGCGTGATAGCGCGCAGGACCGGACGGTCGCCAGAGCAGCTGCCACCGCGCCGAGCCGCCGAGCACTCGCCGCCGACCGCAGCGCCTGAGGTGAGTCGTCGCCGTCTGATGGAGCGCAGAGCACAGCGCGCGGGCACGGACACAGGGCGCGGGCCGTGCGCACACTGACAGGGCCGGTGGGACATCCATCACCCGGCCGCCGGCTCTCACCACCGGGAGCGAGGCGAACCGTATCTACTGCCGTCCACTCGGCGCCCCTAGTCCTGGCGCTCCCCTCCCTGGCGGCACGCGCCCCAGCGCACCGCCCCTGTCGTGCCGCCGGCGCCACACGCCGCCAGCAGCCGTCGGAGCCGACGGAGCAGCGCGGCCGACCCTCCCCGCGGGCCTGCGTGCGTCGTCAGCGGTGGAGAGGGGCGTTTTTGTGCCGAGCCGCCTCCTGTCGACGGGCGATGGTCGCCGTGAGTCATCGGTGCTGCCCGCGGCCCGTCCGTCCGTGCCCCGCCCCGCCCTCGGCTCTGCCGGCGGCGGCGGCGCGTGCAGACGGCAGAGGGAGAGGAGGGGCAGGGCCGGGAGAGGAGGGGCAGGGCCGGGAGAGGAGGGGCAGGGCGGCACACCGTCCTCTGTTTTGCCGGCGGCGGCGCGTGCAGATCGCAGAGGGAGAGGAGGGGATGGGGCAGCACACCGCCAGATGTGGGCCACGTCCGAGCTGGGACGGGTGAACGGCCGGCCTGCGAGCGGCGGCCGCACCTGCACCTGCACCTGCTCCGGAAACGGCCGCAGACCGTCTGCGATACGTACCTTTATGTTTATGTTACATATTAGATGATGGTTTAAGGCGCCGGTGAATAAGGCGTGCATTAGTGGAGGTTTGGCGGGGTGTTTGGCTGGATGTCCGTGCCGGTGCTGGCCGGAGGTGACGGCGAGGCCGCGCCACCCGGAAGCCGGGCTCCGCCGCGGGATGTCCGAGCCACTCCGTCAGCCACGGCGAGGCCAAACAGAGCGACGGGCCGCCGCCGTGCCGGGCCTCTCCCGACTGCGCCGGCGGTGCCTCTGCGCCCGGAGTTCGGCACGGCGCACCATGTGTATGTCAGTCGTCTGTCGGCGGGTCGGGGGCCGTGTCCTCTCCCCGCGGGCGGCTGCTCACTGAGGGAGGACGGTGCCGCTCACTGAGGGAGGACGGTGCTGCTCACTAAGGGAGGGCGGTGCTGCTGACTGAGGGAGGACGGTGCTGCTCACTGAGGGAGGACGGTGCCGTCGCTGTGCGGCCGGCTGGTGCCACCGGACGGACGGTGACTCAGAGCCCCGTGACACGACGGACCGCAGTGAGTCTCCGCCGGCCGCCGCCGCACCAGAAACACTTCCGGGACGCTCGGCGCTGAGGTGGCCGCCAGTCCGCCAAACAGGGGCCACGTCATACGACAGGCATTCCGTGACGGCCGTTCGGGGAACCGGCGTGGTTAGTGGTTTCACCCGGCACGCGCCAGCTGAGTCTGCACTCTCCACTGCCCTGTCAGTGTAAAACGCTACCTCACTACCGAGTGTCGCCACGGCGCTAGTCTGACAGGCCAACAGACGGTGATCAACACATATAGCTTTTTCCCGCGCGTCCTCCATTTAAAGTGGCAGTGGCTCTCACAAGTAGGGCTGAAAGTCGATCTTACAAACAATCTCAGAATGTTGGGTCGTTATCCCTCGCCGGACCGTTCCGAGTCATGATCGCTCGCAATCAGTGAATCCTGTTGGATACATGAAAATAAGCGGCTTCCACGCTGTAGTCGATCGGTAGTGGCAGGCGGTGTGTTGCAGGTAATCGCTGTCGAACGCTTTTCCAACGGTATACGCTGGCGCTGCGTGCCGTCACAGGCGGCGACACACTGTGTGGACGGTCGGACTGCCGTCACAGGCGGCGACACACTGTGTGGACTGTCGGACTGCCGCCTGGTGCCGTCACAGGCGACGTTACACTATGTAGACTGTCGGGCTGCCGTCACAGGCGACGTTACACTGTGTGCACTGTCGCAGGGAGTCGGGTCGACGATACACTGTGTGGACTGTCGGACTGCCGCCTGGTGCCGTCACAGGCGACGTTACACTGTGTGCACTGTCGCAGGGAGTCGGGTCGAGCTCCCTGCGAGACGCAGAGTTCCAGTGAGCGCCAGTGTCGGAGCCAGCAGAGGCTCAATGCCGGCTGATGTGGTTATTTACTCGCGGCTGACTTAGGTGCGATGCTGGAGGTGTGTCCACTGTATCTGTTTCTGTGTGTCCCTGCTCCCACATGGACCCGCTGCGCCGTCCGTGGGTCGGACGGCGGGCCCCTCCTCGGTAGGTCCCTCCGGTGGGCGCTCGGCAGGCCGCGATCCGGGCGGACTCCGCTCGGCCACTTCCTAATTGATTGGCTGCCGCGGACTCGGCAGCCGTCGGTAATGCGTTCGGCGGCGCGCGATTGAGACGCGATTGAAGTCGATCGGAGCGCGATAGGTGTATCTGGGAGGCACGCCGGGCTGATGTGTCTGTGTGTGCGCGGCTGTGCCTGTACTGGTGTTTGTGTGCACGTGGGTGTGTGGGCGGTGGTACTGCGGTGGGGGATTCAGGTCACCGCGGGAACTGGAGGGCACAGCTCGCTCAGATCGGAGACCGGCGGTCTGCACACGGCCCACCGTCCGGTGCCTGCGTGGTTCCAGGCGCTCGGCTTTGGGCGAGCCGTGTACGTACCGACGGCCTAAGCTCACAGCGATCAAAGATTGACGCGGAAACAGGGCACCAGCTGGGAGCGAATCGAACGTGTCTTTCTGTCAGCTTCTGCCGGCTGCCGTTTATGATACAGTCGGACTGGGGCTGGGGCCTGGGTCGGATTGGGCTCGACTAGGCAGGACCGGGGTCTGGGCTGGGTCGGACCCCGTTGTCGGGACTGAGCCGGACCCCTTGGTCTGGGCTGGGTCGGACCGGCGCGTCAGCTCCTTGGCTCTGTTGTAGGCCGGCCTCTGTGCCCAGCCGGCTCTGTGTGCTCTGCTGTGTGCTCTGTTGTGAGATCTGTTGTAGGCTCTGCTGTGTGCTCGGCTGTGGGCCGCCGACAGCCGGCTCTGTGTCGAGCAGCCGACAGCCGGCTCTGTGCCGAGCAGCCGACGGCCGGCTGGTGGTACCGGCCCAGCGGCGTCTGGCGCCGGCTTTCTGCGGAGGCCTGCCGCTCCGGCCGGCCGCGGTAGGGCCCGTTTGATGTTACCGCCGCGCTGGTCGTGCCGGGGACCGAGCCCTCCCTGACGGCGGCTCCGTACCGCCGGGGGACACCGGTCAGCTCTGCTCTGCCCGGAATCACCCGCCGCGGTTGTGTTTGTGCACACCTGATTTCCACCTGCTGTGGCTGCCAACAATGGATAGGTATAAGAATGGCGTTCAAAGTCAAAATTCAGTGTCAAACGCTGGAAGTGGATTCGAGTTTTATTTAAAATATTAATTTGAAATATTTTCCACTAATTAGAATACGTTTCCATTATATACATCTGTTGCGCTGGCTCGAAACCCTTAGCCCGATCGGAACATAGCCGGTGAAATAACTCCCAATCCGCGTGCCAGGCTCGGATCGTGTTCGGCGAACTACATGGACCATATTCCGTCGGGCCATATTGGAGCGTGTTGGGCGTACGGCGTTGGACCAGGCCGAGTTCGGATCGTGTTCGGAGCACTGCATTAGACTGTGTTCCCTATGACGCGTTCGGATCGGGTTCGGACTTCGGAGGACGGCGTCGCAGTGGCAGTGCCACGATTCATTGGTGCGGCCATGAATTAAACGAACTTGCCTTTCGATGAACTTTATAGACACCGCGTATGCGCTGCATCATGCAGGTAGCATCAGTTGCATAACGTGTTTAAAGTCGATACCTACCAGGATGCGACTTGTCTGAAAGTACGTCGAGAGCTCCGTGAATAGATATCGCCTCTGCGAGAGGTCGTTGGGCCTCCCCGTACCTACCTATGAGGGCGGTCTTCTGCATCGTGCCAATCCCGCACATTGTCTCAAAGAATGCCGACAACTTTCCAGTCGCCTGATTGCCGAGTTACGTAACGCTGTGCTGTTCTGTACTCGGACCCACACTCGGCCCGTGGCTGATGTGAATGTCCCCTCCCCTGCCGAGCGGCGCCACTCGCCTTCGGGCGCACCTGACGACACGCGGCGCGTGGGAGCGGCGGCCCCAGCCGCGGGTATCGGGTGTCCGGAGCTCGGCGCGCCGACTCATTACTGTCGCCGCGGGACTGAGAGAGGGGAGAGGTGAGGGCTGTAATGAGTGACCAGAATTGGTAGGACGCCGCCAGTGGTATGTGCCCTCCCAGTAACGCGCATCGCAGAGATGCTGTCTATTCTCTCACGAGTAGTTGATATAGATGAATGTGTGTCCCGATCAGCTGTCTTCCAAGTTCCATCAGCCCTCGCTCATGCGCTGCGGCTGCAGCTTCCCCGGGTTGAGGAGGGCGGCGTCTGCGTGTGCCATTGAACACGGCCGTCAGCTGGGGCTCGTCTGGCACTCAGGGCTCGTCTTTTTGGACCAGTGACACTCAGGGGTCACTCAGGGGTCGTCTGCCGGACCAGCGGCACTCAGGGCTCGCCTGGGTGGAATAGTGGCACTCATGGGTCGTCTTTGTAGACCATTGGCACATTGGCACTCGGCGGTCGTCTGGGTGGACCGATGGCACCCAGAGGTCGTCTGTGTGGACCGGTGGCACTCAGGGTCGTCTGTTTCCAGACGTCTCCGACCGTCATTTGTCGCCTGATTGTCTCTGCAATCTCTGACCGTCGTCCGGCAGCCGAACACAGACCACCACTCAGTCAGTCAGTCAGTTGGTCATCCAGTCACTCAGCCTTCCAGTCGGTTGGTCATTAATTGACCTGTCAGTGTTATCAATGTGCCTCCGATGGCGTTGGTTGGCGATATCAATTTTGAAATGGCCCTCTGAAGAGTCTGCGTCATTCTTGCAGTGATAGCCGCGCGGGAGTTGGGGAGGACGCCGGTTGGACGGCTGTGCCAGCGCCCGCGGCAGGCTATGTGCGGGCTGTGGGGCGGGCCGGGCCACTGAGCACGGCCCCGTCCCGTCCCGGCCGCACAGTGCACACTGGCCCGATGGCCGGTGGCTGGGCGCCGGAACTGGCGACTCAGGGCCGCCGGCCGGCCGGCCGGCACCGACCGATCGGCGCGCTGCGCCCTTGGTGGGTCACGCGGCCCCGGCCCCGCTCCGGCGGCGGCGGCAGCGCCGTGACGGCACGGATCACGGATGCGCCGACCGCCGACCGCCGACCGGGCTGACTGAGCCGTCCGGCGGCCCGTCAGCGGCCACGGCCGACCCGGGCCGCGGGTCGCAGACGCCGGCCCGGCACCACCAGTAAAAACTGGCCCACAGTAAAGGCACCCATTCACGGAGCTTCGCTCGCTGGTTTCTAAGAACTACGTCAAGGTTTGTTTTTAGCGCCTTTTCTGCCGTAAACTTTCTTTGTTGTCCAGTAATTGTCCGTAAAACCAGTTTAATGGCGTCGTGTATTGGCTGGAATTCTTCCTAGGATCGTAGGCTCATTTCTCTATCCTTGTGTGCTTTCCTCGATGTGTCTGATTCGCTCCTTTGTGTATGTTGGATACAGGCGTGTGGTAAACCTCTAAGTGGCAGGGGTGGCCGGGGCCTGTCCTCGGACCGGGCTGCGGCGACATTGAGCCGCTCCGTGACGCTGTGACGGCCGTGACGGGCGGCTCCGTGACGGTCGTCACGGCCAGTGATACTCCACGGTCGGTAGTACTCGGCGGGCGCCCGGGACGGGGACGGCGGCAGCCGGTGTGGGCGGCACCACTCAGCGGCGGATATTGGCCAGTTTCCTATGGTGAGGCTCCGAAATGGAGCGCAGTGTCTCTTTGGACGACCATCGGTTAGTGAAAGAGACCGATGGAGTAGGTACCGGCAATCTCTCTGACGGTGTTGGGCGCAACTGGTCCTCAGCTTGAACTGCCGCGCGGGGTCGTCCCCTGTGAACTTCTATCGAGCAGTCATCCAGTCGGCAGCTCTGATGGCCGCGATCTATCTCTATCAATTTCTATAGTTGGAATGATTGATGACACATGCCCAGAGATTACTTCATTGTCAGGATTTTGCTGCTGGTCTAAACCGTTCCTTACTCCCGTATCCAAACGGGACTGATAACTCGGAAATGGTGTTGCTGCCAATGGGAAAATTCGGGAAGGCCATTTGAGAGCACGGAAGGGGTCGCCCCGAGACCTGCCGCCTCATTCTGAGTTCCACTGGTCTCGGACCTGTCTCACTGTCCCACTGGGTCATGTAAGTGGTAATGATGAATGACCTGGTGAAGGGCCGCTATCGTGGCCGCTAGAGTGGGTGTAATCAGGGATTCGGGAGAAAGTTCTTCCCATATGTTACCACGCGTGTGCCCTATCGTTAGTGGCTGTTTGACGCAATGCTACTGTTTCGGGGCCGGCCGAGGTGCTCCCGATTTTTTTGCACACCTCGCCTGTGTCGGTACGTGATAGCGTACAGCGCTGGTAGCTCAGCACACCGGTCGGCCTTTAGGTGCAGTTCGGTGACAGCGATTAGAGCACGTGTTGCGCCGAGTCAGAGGGCACACAGTCGGTGAAAAGAGCGCTGTGTACTGTGTAGGGGACAGGCTGAACTACACATTGCCTCGGCCACTACCGGCCGCAGCTGCCAGCCGCTCCGTGACGGAGAGGGCTGGGAGCGGCGGCGACTTCAGCCGCCGACTTCACTGGCCGCGTGCGGGCGGGCACAGGGGAAGTCCGATCATTTTTCATAGGCCCTAGCGCAGGTAAAGGTGAGGAAATTTGGACTTTTCTAGTTCAGTGTAACTATTCTCACCAGCCGGAGGGCTCCCAACTTGCTAACTACTAGAAAAATGTATCCGTCGTTCCGACGTTTTGTCGCCCAAAATGACCTGGTGGAGCTCCAGCTGCTCTACCGGGTGGGCAGCTGGAGCCTGGATTAGCCGGGAATCTGGACTGGCCGGGAGTCTGGACTGGCCGGGAATCTGGACTGGCCGGGAGTCTGCGCCGATCCGAGGAAGGTGAAGCTGCAGCGCACATCCGACTGTCCCTGCACAGTGGGACAGTGGGACAGTCACCACGCCCTAGCCACGCTTGTCTGTCCCTACACAGCGGGACAGTCACCCCGCCTCAGTCCCGCTCGTCTGTCGCGGCACTGGGATTTCGATTCATATCCGCGGTGAATGCTCTGCCCTACTAACAACAATGCAATAGGGGCACACTGGTTAGGTGGTCTTGTTTGTTTGCTCGATTCGGTGGTCGTTCTTCTTGAAAACATTAAACATTCTTTAATGTGATTGTAGTCGAGTGTATTGGGTGCTTCTCCTGCGACCGTTCCAACCACACTGCCAACCCTCTCGCACGACCCGGCGCCGCTACCACCGCGACTCGGCGCCCCCGTCGCCACACATGTAACAGGACACCCCCCTTGGACACATTTGTCAGTGTCGGCTAGACGGCGTCCCCCAGGCGCGTCTGGGTCACGCGGCGTCTCAGCCGGTCACACAGAGCTACACATAACTATAAACTACACGTCCCCCTGATCTTTAAGATCACATCTCAATGCATACACACAATATGACACAATGCACTAGGACACTAGGACACCTACATCAGACACTTGAGACACAAAATGCGACACAATCAACGCGAAAGACAAAATACATTACAGCAGTTAGCCGATATTATTCGGTACTACTACCCCGAAGCGTTCTGGCGGAGCCCCCACTCTCGCGCTACGTCGCGGTTCAGTACTGTTCTGAGCCGGTGGCTCATCAGAGGTCAGCCGCGGCAGCTCCACCTCTACAGAGCGATCAGTCTCGCCGACTGCCGATGAATGCTCTGACGCACCGAGCGACAAAGCCGGCTCACTGTCGTCTTCGATTGGGGGATCGGCCGCCGTCAGCTGCCCCGTGTGCCGGTGGCGCACGCACCTAACGTGCCACGGAGCACCGTCAACTTCGATAAGCTGGTCGGTCACGATGCGTGTGACGGTGCCAGGCCGGGAAACGTCAGTACAGCGAGTCGCAGGCCCGCGGCGCCGCACCCACACCAGGTCGCCCTCCCTAAAGCCGGCTCCCCGCTCAGAGTCTGCAGTGAGAGCCGGCGGCGGCCGGTCATCGTGTCCGCCGGCGCCGGTCACCGGCAGGTCACGCCCGACACGACGGAACACGCCGGCGGCGGGAGCGCTCTCAGGCTGCGAGCCATCTCGGGGCGTCATATTGTAGCGATGAAGCGATTCAGCTATGGCACACCCTTTCCGAGCTGACATCACTTTAATCGTCCGGTGATGACGCTCCACGATGCCGTTCCCACCTGCCTCGTGCACCGCCCTGAACCGAAGGGTCACGCCCCACCTCGCCGCGAACGCTCCCATGCGGCGACCACGGAACTCAGTGGCGTTATCCAGAAGCAGTTCTGCTGGCGCCCCGTGCTCCAGAAAGACGGTTTCGAGACGAGCAGTGATCTCGGCCGCATCTGACCGGCGCAATCGCCGCCATATTCCATAGCGGGACGGACCACAGTCGACCACGGTCAGATAGTGATCGCCACGGTAGTGTGTGACATCGATGGCGAGACGCTCCCAGGTCAGTTGAACGCCCAGTGACCCGTGTCGCCAGCGGGTCGGTGCCGGGTCGATTGACTGGCACACGTCACACGTCCGAATCACTGCGCGCACCGCTGGCTTAGTGGCCCACTGCTCTCCGTCACGCCGCAAATACCAGAGCGTGCGCCTGACACCCTGGTGTCCAATGTTCTCGTGCACCGCTCGAATTTTTGCAGCCGTGTCGGGGTGTGTGGACTCTCCGTCCGGCGCCACTGCAGCCGCCACCGGCACCGCGCCTGTCGCCGTTGCCGTCTCCTCCTCTGCCCTGCAGGCTCGAAGCCATTCCTTGGGCACGCGTGTCATTTCGTCCGCCGGATTTTCATCTGACTTGACCAGCTTGATGGTGATCGTCAACTGGAACTCAGCCACCAGCTCACGGATGATGTCCACCCGTCGGCGAATCAACATCTCGGCATGAGCTTTTGTCCGGAGACGCGACCGGCCGCTCAGTGCGTCACCGACCCACTTATAAACGGTCGCCGAGTCCGTGCGGAGATCGATCACTCTGATCCCCCACGCGATCGCCATGTTGACGCCGCTGAGCGCCGCGTCCAGCTCAGCCATATTTATATGCATGGCTGCCTTAGTCTCCGGCCGCAGCCAGCTCCCGTCCTCCACTACGCCGCCTTCCGGATCCTCCAGGACGACGCCCGAGGCGAGGCTGCTGGCGTCTGTCCATACGGTCAGCTTTTCACCCGTCAGCCTCCAGGGTCCACGGGCCGGGTCATTGGAGGTCACCCTTTCAGCCACTTGGCTGACTTGAGCGCGCAGGTCCGGGTCATCGATGGGGTCATCCCAGCCCTGACTGAGAGCATTAGCCCGTCTCTTTAGCCAGGCCGCAGCTGGACGCAGCCAGCCGGCCACTGGAAGGTGCGAAACCAGCTGGCCGCACCATGCAAACAGCGCCCTGCGCGTCATCACCTCTGGCGGTGCGCCGACGGGGTTGTCCCGGCGCCACTGCAGCTCTCCCGAGCGCGAACAGCTCACCTGCAGCCCCAGCATTCGAGCGCCGTCAGCCGGGCGCTGCGGTGGCTTGCAGACAAGGCCGAACCGGGAGAAGTGCTCTGCAACCTGCTCCGCGGAGATGACGTCCTCATTCACGAGAAGGTCGTCAACGTACGGGAGAACGCCCCGGCTGACCGCCTCGTTCTGCTCAAGTATAGTCCGCACCACAGATCTCATGATGTTCGGAGCTACATTCAGCCCATATGACATGCGCTGCAGGCAGTGAAGCTGACCGCGCACTCGTACGGTGTGGTATGGCCAAAGCCGTCTGTCCAGCCGGAGCTGCATGTAGGCCTTTCTCAGATCGAGCACTGCCAATCGTGAGCCGTGCCGCCGCCAGCGACGGAGTTGCTCTGCGCACACCTCTGCGTCTGCTGTATGGGCGGTGACGTGTATGTATGTATGTATGTATGTATGTATTGACGATCAAGAGCAATCCACAATCGGCGTGGCGATTACACTCCGAGTCCGAGCTGGTTGAAGATAACACAAGAAATACCTATACAAGAAAACGCACACACTTACGGATACGAAAATGCACAACGCGAACGCCGAACACGCACATACTTGGAGTAACCCGCACGAAGCCGCGTTCATAACCATACACACAGACTCGTTTGCCTTTCATAGTCCAAGAGTCATGAGGCTAGCTACTATGGCTACTCTGGCTAGGCTTAAGCTCCTTTTTTACAGCACGGGCAAATCTGGCTGGAGGCAACTGCGTTAGCTCGAGGGGGAGAGTATTTAGGAGCGCCGCGGCACGGTAGGCGAATCTACGTTTTCCGGTCTCTAGTCGGGGTCGCGGTAAGTGGTAGAGGTGGTCTTGGCGAGTAGACCTTGCTCGTGTTTGGGAATTTTTGGAAAATAGGGTCGCAATCTCCTCGGGTTCACCTCTCTGGATGGCCTTGTGCGCCGTGATAAGGGTATGGTATTCAGCCATTGTTTTAGGTGCCATCCAGCCGAGTTGGTCCCGGAGATGGGAGACATGATCAAATTTACGGCGACCGAAAATGACTCTAGCGGCAAAGTTAAGAATTTTCTGAATGCGATCGAAGTTCTTTTGGCTACCATTACCGAATACGGAGAGGCAGTACTGGATCCGTGACATGACGAGAGCCACCACTACTATGGACGTCAAACCCCTTGAGACCCCACTTTTTTGTGATAATTTTTAAATGCGTCAACTCTCGTTGACAATATTCTGGCAATGTGTGTTTCAGAACCTGCCGAAACTTTTATTACTAAGGTATTTTGACGCCAAACGATTATGAAAGGTACTTCTCATTCACTCGTAATGTTAAATTTCACGGAACGAATCTGCTGTTTGGGTAGAGGCTACGCGCTCATGAGGCGGAGCCACGTAATGACGTCAGCGCTAAGCTCCGCCCTACCCCTCTGGCGCTCCTTGCCCGGCGACCGGTCACTCGCGTCTCGCGCTCCATCCAGGCTTGATGGTGGGCGGTAGTTGGTAGCGGTAGCGGGCGCTGGTAGATGGCATTTAGGGCAGATGGCGCTGGTAGCGGGGCTCGAGTGTGGCCGAGCGCAAGCCTCTGCCCGGGCCTGAATTGACCTTAGCATTACGAGTGAATGAGAAGTACCTTCCATAATCGTTTGGCGTCAAAATACCTTAGTAATAAAAGTTTCGGCAGGTTCTGAAACATACATTGCCAGAATATTGTCAACGAAAGTTGACGCATTTAAAAATTATCGCAAAAAAGTGGGGTCTCAAGGGGTTTGACGTTCATAGTAGTGTCTTGGTGCCTGTTGAGTTCGCGATAATCCAATACCGGCCGCACCTTGTCCTTGTTGGGCTGTTCAACCGCCATCAGAAGTATCAGACCGCGCGCTGGGCCGTCCACTCGCTCGTCATATGGCTGCAGCCACCCCTCTCGAGCCCACAGCTCCAGCTCCTCGTCATAGGCTGGCCGTGCCGCGTCCGGCACGTTGTACTGGGCGACAGTATTGTGGAGGCGGTCCGGGCTCTCTCCGTCTGTCCACTTCCAGGCCACCGTCCACTCGCCACTGTCCGCCGAAATACCTTGTAGTCGAGTGTATTGGGTGCTTCTCCTGCGACCGTTCCAACCACACTGCCAACCCTCTCGCACGACCCGGCGCCGCTACCACCGCGACTCGGCGCCCCCGTCGCCACACATGTAACAGGACACCCCCCTTGGACACATTTGTCAGTGTCGGCTAGACGGCGTCCCCCAGGCGCGTCTGGGCCACGCGGCGTCTCAGCCGGTCACACAGAGCTACACATAACTATAGACTACAGTGATAAACAATACTGGCTCACCACCATTTTGGTAGCGTGTACAGCAAGTGTATGGCTCACAATTATGGACTGTCTGCGATTTGCGCCACTGTGCGGTCAGCGCGGGCGTTACGCGGACCATTGTTTGGTCCAGGGAGGGTTTCCCGACGTCAGGCCCGTGGCTGAACCTCCGTCGAACCCCGGCCCTCCTCCCTCTTGGTAGGCTTTGTTTGTTGGAAACAACGTCTTGTCGTGCTGCAAACCACATGTAAACAAACCGAGTGGACGGGTGGTGGTGTTGAAACGTCTTCCAATCGCCCTTCAGCTGCCCCGTCCGAACTGCGGGGCCGCACTTCCCAGCGTCTGTCCTTTGGGTACAAATTAGGTGCTGTGTACTGTGTAGTGTATAGTCGGTCAAATATGTATCTTTCCCGGCCGGCCCTCCCCTCGCTGGGCAGGTCGGTAACTTGGCTGAATCCGCCGGCCGCTGCGAGTACTACGGAGGGGAGGGGACAGGTTGTGCGGTTGCCGCGTCGGCCAATGAGCGCGGACCTGGCGAGCGGGCTGGGGCCACGGCGTGTTGACCTAATATGGTCAAAGGTTCATGCCCTGCGGGTATGGTCTGCGGCCAGCTGGCCCACTGATTGAGCCACAGCACCGGGTCGCGGAAAGGTTTCGATAGGTATCTGAATTGGAGAGTGGAGACCGTTAGCTTGAACTTGAGTGTAGTCGCTCTAGGTTTGAGATGCCGGGACCAGGGACCTGCAACACCATGATCCTGAATATATTGTGTGGATCGGGTGGCATTCAGATGAAGTTGAAATTTATCCCATTGACTTATAATGGGGAGGTTGTGAGATTGACCTGACCTCAGGTCATAGATAAAAAAAATCCGAGACATACATTTTGTGGATATTGTCACCCTTACTAACTCCTGAAAGTTTCATATCGATCGGTCAACAGTTGTAGCTTTGGTGCAAGTTCAAACTTTTTGTGACGTTAGGTCACTCAAACCGACCTGCTGACCTGACCTTAAGTCATATAAGGTCAAAATTCGCACACAGTATGCGCAATAGATGGAAAAACAGGTATGCAAAATTTGGTGGCGCTGCACGCCGCCGTTTTTTGGCTATCTGCGAAAAACCTGGGGGGGGGCGCAAATCGCCCCCCCCCCCCCGGCCCGGCGCAGGTTAAGATTTTCAGTAGATATGGCTTAACGCTTTCCCGTTAATGCCAAAAAAATGAAAAAAAGTTTTTGCTTTATCAAAAAATAGCCGGTCATAATTCGATTAAATATTTCTCTTGCGCTAATCATCATATCACCAAGCATTCGATCGTATCAAGAGCAACCATCTTAATTTTTAGGTCAGCGACCCCTGTTGAAACACCAGATAATCCTTTGATAGCTCATAGCACTCAGTCTACAATTTACACGGCGCATGAAAGCACAGCCATCATTAGACCATCGCGCTGCCCTCACATTCGTTAGATTCCTAACGCATCCGCTTGCTCGCCTCTCCCGGCCAGACCCGCCGGAGCACCCGGCGGCGAGGCCGTCCAGTGCTGGTCTGCGGTCACTCTCCAGCCGGCCGCTGTGTAGCTCCGCCCCCCGCGCGTGACGTCACAGGGCCGCCAGAGCCGCCAGGGCAGCTGGGGTGTGGGCTCAGCCAACTATCGAATCCAGACCGTAGCGCCACTTGGCGGCCGGGAAAGATACATATTTGACCGACTATACCTACTCAGCCGACGGTAGGTCAGTTTTGGCAGTCCGTTCTCAGGTCAGCTATTTGATAAAGTGAGTCGTCTGTCGGCTGGCTACATTGCGAGTTGCCCTCAGTGCTGTGGCGGCAATGGCGCGCCGGTCGGCAGAAGGCCCGCGCGGCGTCTGGCGCCGTCCGCCCGTCTCTGTTCTCGCCGCCGCTCTCCGTCGCGCTGGCCGTGACACGTGGCTGTGGTCGCTGACCTGCCCCCCCCCCCCCCGCTCTTGGGTGCCGCTTCCCTCCCCCCTCCTCCCCCGCTGAGCTGCCTTCGGATCAGCCAACGACGGACTGCCCTCTATTCTCAAAAGACCGCCATCTGACCTCAGCGGACCACAGCGGACCGCCATCGGACCACAGCGGACCTCCATCGGACCACAGCGGGCCGTCATTTGACCACAGCGCTGCGGACTGCCACTTGTCCACAGCGGACCGCCATTTGGCCACAGCGAGCCGCCATTCGGCCACACCGGACCACAGCGGACCATAGTCTTACCGTCCTGGCACGCACCGGTTCAACGACTCTCCATCCGCAATGGAACGCTCGGAACTCTGGACTACCGGCAAACGTGGCAGCTATTACCGCAGTTAGTAGCATCATTACGTCACCCGCTCTGATGTTTGCGTGACCCGGCAATGTTCAGATATACCCATTCACTGTTGCGTCATGCCAACACGCAGTTTTGCTCACAGTCCAGGAAAGATGGCTTTGTGTTGCTCGATGACGTTCTTTGGCACTACACGCCGACATGGCTCACTGGCAGGCGTCGAAGGTCGGTTCTCGAGTCGAGTTGGTGGGATGAGCTACGATGTCCTCGGCAGACTGACGCCAGACTGACGACTGACTACTGACGCCAGAGATGGGGATGTCCGCAGAGTGATGCCACTGCTGGTGGCGCTGTTAGTGCCGACCAGAGATGGGGATGTCCTCATAGTGATGCAGGCTGCAGGGGCGCCGCCACGGGGTAGTGGTCGGCAGACCCCCGCAGGGGCGACGTTACGGACCCTGGACAGTGGACAGTGGACGGCAGACCGCCGCAGGGGCACCGCCACGGCCCTGACAGAGGACGGCAGACCCCCGCAGGGGCGCCGCCACGGGCCCTGGGCAGTGGGCAGCCGCAGTAGACAGTTGACAGTGGACAGTGGACAGTGGACGGCAGACCTCA